GCAAAACACTCCTCCCCGTCGCACCCCGAAGTAGAAGTGGAAGTGGAAGTGGCTGCGTCCCCGAAGGGGCCCGCAAGGGGCGCAACGCAGCTCGTGCCGCTCATTGCTTCATGAACCACGTGACGAAATTCTCAGGTCTGGATGACCACCAATCCCGGCCCTGCGCCTGATCAATCCAAGAATCGATGTCGTTCTCTGCAACGAAACGCCGGACAACATCTTCCCATTTCATCCACCTTCTTCTCGATGGGCGTCGCGTGCGCCACGCGCAGTTTGCTACCGATGTTGTCAAATCCGAATCCCGCAATTCAGTCACCTTGCGTACCCAAGTTGACATGCTCCTTCTGGCAACGTGCCCTGCCCACAACCATTTCTTCTGGGCGCGCTCCTCTACCAAGTCTCTCACTCCAGCCTCCCGCGCTTTCGCACGAGCTCTCCTTGCGGCGCATTGAAGCCACTCGATCCACGGCACGTTGGGAGCGCGCCTGCAGCATAAGATCCACCGGGGCATGTTATGTTGAGCTGTTCGCAACCGCTGCGTTTCCTCCACTCGCGGCGTCCAGGAATGCGATCCATAGAGTAATGCGCTGCCCACCGTGGCGTCGAAGAGACGCAGGCGCCTGTTGACCGAGACATTCGGGTTGAACAGCAGGCGCTTCAAAGCCCAGAACTCCCGCCACCCAACTGCCAACCGGCGATCGATCTCAGGCTTCGTTGGGTCTGTGAGTGACACCGATGTGCCTAGCACCTCCAGGCACTCCGACTCATCCAAGACTTGCAAAGAAAAGCCGTCTTCTAAAACAACGTCCCCCCGTCTTGTCCAGCCCGGGATATTCGTCTGTGCTTTGCATTTGGCGGGGTGTAAGCACGGGCCACGAAGCAGCAACATACGTCGCAACTCCAACACCATTCTTTTTAGTGAAAGCCAAGACCGCGCCACCAAGGTCAGTTTGGGCGGGCTGGGCGTTCCGCCTGAGACTTGCTCACCACCTGCGGCCCCGAAGCTGAAAAGTTGTCAACAGCGCCACAGATGGAGGGCGAATGGTGTTCAGAATGTGGCTCTCGCCTCCGCGCCGCGCGCGCTCGCGCCAACTATTTGCCGAGGAGCTTCGCGGATGGAGGGCGGATGATCTTCAATATGTGGCCCTCGCCCTCGCGCCGCGCACACTCAATGTATAAAGCGCAAAGGGCTTCGCGGATTGGGGGAGGATCGTTTTCATAATGTGGCTCTCGCCCCAGCGCCGCGCATCTTCGTTCTAGACATTTGCCAGGATTTTACATTTTTTTGCCTTGTCGCCATTTCGTCTCCGCTCCAATGCGTCACTAGCACGGGGCCTCAACCGCCGCCCCCACAGCTCCGGGGCCGGGCGCTGCGAGGGCTCTGGTTTTGGCCGCACAGCGTCCGCGGGGCGCGATCAGACGATGAACGCCGCGCCCCCCCACCCCACCCCCGCGGCACAGCGGCCAGAGCCAAAGGCCAGCGTTCAGAGACGACACTGCCCCTGAAGTTCATTGCACACCCTGCGACAGAGCTGTTTCGGCCCCCAAAGACATACCAGCAGGGGCAAGCCACCCAGGCCCTGCGCGGAGGTCAACCCACGCCTCGGCAACAGCCACATGCCTCCGAGTCAAAAGGCGGAGGCGAGCTTCAAAGTTTTGCTGGGCCGTGCCGGGCAGGCTCAGCCTCGCACAATGGTGAGCACGCAGGAAAGCATCACACATCCAGGCACACAGCAGCGACGCATTCGGGGGGAGAGGATAGAGCTGAATCAGCGTGGCACCCCATGGAATCATCACAGAAGCACTTGGAAACACAGCACTCATCCATTGGACACATAACTCGCGGAAGCGATTGCAGAATTTGCAAGGACGTAGATCATCATAGCCCCGAGACATATCAAACCCATATCCCCTATGAGTACACCCAAAGATACAGCCACGAGGATGACAATGGAAGCGAGCACTCGTGCACAGAGCACGCGTGCAGATACGAAGAACACACATGGCAAGGCAAAGGGGAAGTCGCTGCTGCGTTACGTCGGTTTTGAAGGACAAGATGGGAGAGATTACTGCAATCCACTTCAGGCAGCCACTTTCTCAGTCGATACTGAAAGCCTTCAAACACCGTAGGTCCAGGAAGGAAGGGCGCGGAGACGGGCGTGGAGTTTCCGTTGGGGGGCAGCATGGGGAAAGATCGGAGAACTGCACAATATTCTGGGCATTCTGCACCACCTCAAACATCTTAGTTTCTATCAAAAACGACCTGCGATGCCATCCCCGTGGGTCGACAACCCTGGCATCATCTTGCAACGACTTTCGACAGCGGGGCACCCCATGCCATACCAGCAGCATCTGGGCCAACATACAGCCCCAGGTACTTGAAAGCAGAACTTACCCCCACCAACTCCAACCCCCTCGCCTCCTTGGACATCATGTCACTGACCTCCTCCTTCCTAACCCTCCCACGTATCAGAACAGTGCACTTGCGAAAGTTGAGCGCCAGCCCAATAGCTGACTCAAGGATGAGAAGCATGCGCCACACGGCAGTGGTCGAGCGAAAGACATCCACCATTCCAAAAACACAGTCGTCAGCATATGCAGGACACAGAACAACATGGGTGGGGGGGGGTCTGGAGTATCCATCGCAATACAGGGTCAATGCAAAGACAGAAGAGGGCCATAGAGCTAAAGTCGCCCTGACGCGCCCCCCTCTGGATTGGAAGGCTTCCGACTTTCTGCCCACCAAGAGTTACCGCGCCCTGGCTTTTCTTTTAGACCATGAACTGGAAGTTATTGATGAAGGAGGGGGCATTCATAGCATTGAGCACGGCAAACATCCAAACATGCAGAAGCGACGGGAAAGCAGCGGAGGAATCAGTCGAGAGGATGGCAGCCGAGTCACGCGCGAGCAACTCTTGTTGCAGCCCCCAACTTTCTGCCTGCGCTACATTCGTGAGCGTATCTACCTTTAACACGCATCTGGATGGGGTGCGATAGTCACTTTAGAGAGCTCATTCAGCGGGCGGCAGACCACAGCAGAGAGGATCTTCGCACCGGTGTTAGACATGGAGAGCGGGCGCGTGCATGTTGCATCCCGAATAATGTTCCCTGCCCCGTCCCCCTCCTGCTCACCCTTGTCGGAAAACCAGCAGTAGTTCACCCATGTCGTCAGGCAGCTCTGAAACACTTCCATTGGTAATCTCAAGCTAAAGATGGTAGAGGTATCCCGGCGCATCTCCAATTCGCCAGCACGCGCGTGGAAAACCGTCTGGTCCAGGCATCGAGTTACGGCAGTGTCGTATATGTTCAAACAAAGTACCAGATTCAACCTTCCAGGAAACCTCGAAGTCCTCGGGAACCATCTGAACATGTCTCAGAATGTCCGCCCACCTGGAACGATATGCCGTAGCTGGCGAAACAGACAACTTGCCCAACCTTCAGCAAGCACGTTGGCCGACTGCTCGAGTGTAGTACACGGGCTTCCGTTAGCGTCTGGTACGGCAGTGGGGTAAGCTTGCCTTCTGAATTTCCTCCAAAGCCCCATATTCCTCCGTCGTTTAGCTAGTGCAGCTTTCCTGGTATCATCGTTCATGCTGCTATCGTTCTCAATCTCATCCTCCTCCTCAATGAAAATCTTGACATGAACCCCCTGCGTCAATTCACAAAGACCATGGCGGTCGTGACACAGCAAGGTCTCGCAGTCAAAGAACCTCTGAAACTCGGGATACCAACAAACAGCCTTGCACACCATGTGGTCCTGCTGTGCACGCACCCCCCTCAGGGCTACCATGCACCAGCGATGCTTCGAAATAAATGTCGAGGCAACTCGATTGGAAAGGAGATGCCGCGCGCTTGACCGCTGAGCACATGATAGCCTTAACAGCCTTCAGGGCCTCAGCAGCATTTAGCGAATGAAACTCCACGGCTTTGTTGTTAAGCTCCGTGTCAAGTAGTTACTGATAGACTTCGTTCTTGCTAATCCAGTTGGGGGGCCCGCTAGTCAGGCCAGCGGGGGGCTTGCAAGTGTCAATTACGACCAGCACTGGGCTATGATCAGAGACGCGGGCCCGACCGAGCATACCTATAACTGAAGCGCGGATAGTAAGGTCAGCCGCGACCGCCGCTGGAATGTTGAAGTAGATGCGGTCTAAACGCGCAGCGTGGGCAATGTTCCCGCCCCTCATCTCCCGACGAGTGTCATCTGCTTGAAAGAATTCAATACAGCCCGACCATTTCTGGTTAACGAGCGCGCGGGAACGCGTGCCACCTCGGGGCCAGCCCGCCCCGTCAGGATACATCCCCCCTTCCTCCTCCAAGGTGGAATTCCAGCCCCCCAAGATAATCGAAAAACACTGCTCGGCAGGCGGTGAAACCTCAAGTAGCTCGTCAAGGCTGGATGCAAAGACTGCTGGCGACTCGCACGTGTTCGGCATATGGACATTCACGATAGCCAAGTTCCCTGTGTCCCTCAGCATGACACTCATTAGCATCCTGCCTTCCTGAATCACATGGCGTTGAATGGCATGAAACTGCTGTGCGAGATCAGCAGCGATGAAAGTGACAAGCCCCCCCCAGCCCTGGTGGAGTCCTGAAACACAATGCAACCGGCATTCGCATGTCGAAATTCTTGTCGTATACAGTTGGCGTCGGCGATAGTCCAGTGGATCTCCTGAACGCAAACAATTTTGTGGCGCTTACAGAGTCCGGGGAATTTCTTGCATCTAATCGAGGCATTCATCTGACGACGGGCCCGCGCCGAGCCGAAGAGACCAGGTGCATCCCAGGAAACGATATCAAGCGAGGAGGCGGGAAGAAAAAGGCTGCTGGTGCACTGCGCGCTGGCAACAGGGCCCGTCGGGAACAGTCAGAGGCGGCAACGGCTGCAAACAATGGGGGTCGTCTGGCTGGCTAGCCAGATCGTGAACAGAGTCAGAAGAGCAGGAAGAAGAGGCGCTCGACGTGGACATGAAGACGATGAGCATGTGATCTGCGAATTCGTGTTGATGGCCATGTCCGCCGTCGCCCCCGCGCAGCGCGCCGCCGAAGAAGCTGGCGTCGGAGACCATCGGCGTGCACTGCCACGTCCGTCAATCCACTGCTGCATCTGGTCTACGGGAATGCCCCAGAAGGCGAGGTCGCTCTTGTTGGGCTTGAGCACCGGCCTGCCGAGCCCGTCCTGTTCACCTTTTGCCAAGGTGAATAAGTCATCGGATGTGCGGATGAAGAACTCGTTTGGGCACCCGTTTGCGCCGATCTTGTAGTCGGCTTGGTACTTGTTGTTATTCTTCAAGAACTGAACGATCGGCGCCCATAAATGTGACATGCGTCTCTGTCGACGACGGACGTCATCTGGGAGGTGGGTGCGAATGCGTAGAGCATGACATGATCCGTCTCGAGCATCCTTCCATTGAAGCTGCTGCTGGATGAACCATTATTTGAATTTCTTTGCCGTGCCCTCATTCTTGAAGTGGATGGAGAAACTTTGACTCGTGTTTGCAAACTGCGCTGTGGTGCCGTCCATGAGGTGGCTCGGTGCTCCTTGCTGGAGCTGCTGCCAGGTCGTCTGTCTCGTGGCAGCAAGAACAGCGCGTGGATATCCCCTCACCCACATTCTACATGAATCGCTGGTGTCTGTCCCAGCTGTCATACCCACTCTAGCCCGCTTCGTCCTGTCTGTGCCAAGCGTGCTGGAGGCTGTCACTGATGATGTCTTCATAGCTTCTTCTGAAGCCTGGATGCGTATCCCCACCTGCTGTACTTTGATGCCGAGTGCAGCCATCCGTCCGTCCAGTTGTTTGATCTGGCCCGTCAGCTGGCTGTTCGTGTCGGTGACCGTCTTCGTCAATGCAGCGAACTGTCCTGTGACGAAGGCCGAAAACCACTCAGGCGCGGCATCTCCCATGGCTGCGCGGGTGACTCTGAACTCACAACTTGCGAAAGTGAGACTGGATGAGGTTGTGCCAAAAGGGCCTGCCCCCAAGACCTTGTGTCGAGGGCCAAGCTGAAGTCAGGCCCGAGCTGAACTGGCCAGCTGCCTCGATATATGGCCACTTGAGCCAACATGGCTTGAGCCAACATGGTTTGAGCCAAAATTGTTACGGAATTTGCAAGGATTTCACGGATTGAGGGCGGATGGTTTTCAACATGTGGCTCTCGATTTAGCGCCGCGCGCATTCGTTTCACACCTTAGCACAAGTGTCACGGATTCCCATGGCCCACGTATCAGGAACTGTGTTATGGAAGGGTTCAAGATTATGAGGGTCAACCATTACGTGAGTTCGCTGTGTTGAAATTCCAAGAATGGCGTTCTGGCACGGTTCTGGATCGTCAAGACGCAACAGTCCGGTTGTTCCGTGGCGTGTGGATCCCGAAAACAATGTTTTGACATGCGCCAGGGTCTTCCAACGGTTGTCTTCCAATGAAGCAGTTCCCTCAATGGAAATGAATCGTCGTAGGGGCGCACGAAGAGGGAGCTTGGAGGAAAGCTTTTTCCAACATCGTTGATGGCCCTCGGGTTTACACTGGTCATCCTCCTCCTCCTCGTCCTCGTCCTTCTTTTCCTCCTCCTCCTCCCCCCCATCCGCAACCCTCCCCCCGAATTCTTGTTTCCTGACGTCCCCTGTGCCACCTCCTCCTCCATCCTCCACCCTCCCGTACCGCATAGAAGTATGTTATACACTCGAAATTGGGGCCACAGCAGACCATAATGGGCTGGCATTGGGGCGGGTTGCTAAGGAGGCACTTCCGGGGTGGACAAACCTCCCTTTAGTAAACCTCCCCTTAATGAAAACGGCCTGGGACCGAAGCCGACGGACCTAGACCCGCAAAAATGACGGCCGCCTCGCGAACCGACAACGGCCAATTGACTACTCGACGTGTCAGGGTAGGAGGTCTGTCAATCTCCGAGCACTAGCGATGGAGAAGGCGAGACAAATCACTTCTGCCACTCAGAACCCCCTGGGAGATTCTCTTCGGGCCCCCTGAGGCCGTCGTGGCAGCGCACTGTGCCGTTTTGCGGCCACCTTGGGCAGTCTTTGTGGTTCCGAGGCTCGAGGACCGCGGACCGAGGCCCGAGGACCGCGGACCGAGGCTCGAGGCTCGAGGACCGAGGCTCGAGGCTCGAGGCTCGAGGACCGAGGCTCGAAGGACCGAGGCTCGAGGCTCGAGGACCGAGGCTCGAAGGATCGAGGACCGAGGCTCGAGGCTCGAGGCTCGAAGGATCGAGGACCGCGGCTCGAGGCTCGAGGCTCGAGGCTCGAGGCTCGAGGCTCGAAGGATCGAGGACCGAGGCTCGAGACTCGAGGACCGAGGCTCGAGGGCCGAGGTTCGAGGCTCGAGGACCGAGGCTCGAGGCTCGAGGACCGAGGCTCGACCGAGCAGCAGCGCCCTGCTCGAGCGGCCCAGGGTATGCCGTGGGGTCGGGGCGGCGGGCGGCGCCTGCGTGGCCTGCAGCAGCTGCGCGTAGGTGGCGCCCGCCTGGCCGACGGCGGCGCCCGCCACCTGCTCGGCGGCTGGGCGGCTGCCGAGGATTGTGGTGCTCCCATCGTGCTGAAGAACCAAATCCCAGGAGCAATTTCGAGCACCCAAAACATATCGAAACAGTGTCGAACGAGTATCGCCTCCCAGGCCCCGACACGTGAAAACCCTCCAGCTTCGGTACTTTCTTGGTGCTCGAAATTATTGCTAGTGGTCAGGGCTAAAGTAGGTTGGAACATCATAAGCCGAGGAGCGGAAGCTCGGGGAGCAACTGAGCATTCGGCCAACCTTGATATGGAGAGGGCGGGACTCGTGGTTATAGAGAAGGACGGCTTCAGGTGAGGTGGCGGGGATGCTGGAAGAGACCTTGTCGTTGGGAAACATTGTCGAGCCGCGCCGGAGGTAAGAGGTGATCGGCAAAACCCGTCTTCCCATCGGCTACACGCAAGAGTTGCCCTAGGCAAGAGTGGCCTCTGTTCCTCCTCCTCCTCCTCGTCCTCCTCCTTCTCCTTCTGCTCCTCCTCCTCCTCCTCCTCATCATCATCATCAGCATCATCATCCTCATCAGCAGCAGCATCATCATCATCAGCATCATCATCATCATCATCATCATCATCATCATCATCATCATCACCATCATCATCATCATCATCATCATCATCATCATCACATCATCATCATCATCATCATCATCATCATCATCATCATCACCACCACCACCACCATCATCATCATCATCATCATCATCATCATTCATCAGCATCATCATCATCATCATCATCATCATCATCATCATCAGCAGCAGCAACAGCAGCAGCATCATCATCATCATCATCATCATCATCATCATCATCATCATCATCATCATCAGCAGCAGCATCAGCATCATCATCATCAGCATCATCACCATCATCATCATCAGCAGCAGCAGCATCATCATCATCATCATCCTTCTCATCCTCCTCATCCTCCTCCTCCTCCTCCTCCGCCTGCTCCTCCGCCTTCTCCTCCTCCTTCTCCAACCCTGCCATAGATCGAGCCTCCGTTCCCCGTGCATCGGTTTGACCTCGTGCGTGCAGCTTCTTGCACGATGCAGCAAGAGGCTCCCCGACGATCCTCGCCGAAGACATGCGCACGTCCGAGCGATGCCAAGCAACTGGGGCGTCCCAGAAGCCCCTTCTCCTACAAGGTCGGTACTTCTCGGGGGCGCATGCTTGTACTTGTGCCAACTCCCGCCGAGGGAGCCGCCCTCGTGCTGTTTCCACCGCCTTCCGCCGACCTTCCGCCGCCTCTAGCCACCCTATCCTCCTCCTCCTCCTCCTCCTCCTCCTCCTCCTCCTCCTCCTCCTCCTCCTCCTCTTCCTCCTCCTGCTCCTCTTCCTCCTCCTCTTCCTCCTCCTCCTCCTCGTTTCCTCCTCGTTTCCTCCTCGAGACCAGCGACCCAGACGCACTACCAGACGACATGCGGGAAAGGGAAATCGAGCTCCGTGGGTCCTTGGCCGATTTTTACATAGCATGGGGCCCCTTTATCAGGGCACTGCCAAAAGTTGGGCCCCTGCTTTTGTCTCACAGGCCCCTCGGCGGGCCCGTGCAGACCCCGAGAGGCATCGGTTTCAGCCGCCGTCTCCTCCCCCCCCCCTCCTGTGCCAGGTGTCGCTTGTGCTCCCGAGGCGGAGCCCCGGGACCCAGGCCCCATTGAGGCCACAGGCGAGCAGGAGTATGCGGAAGCGTTGGCGTGTGTCGAAGGCACCCCGATCCACGAGCGTGATGCCGATTGCCCTCTCTCGAGTCAGCGCAGCCCCTGCCCAGGCCCCGCCTCTTCCTCCTCCTCCTCCTTCTCCTCCTCCTCCTCCTCCTCCTCCTCCTCCTCCCCCTCCTCCTCCTCCTCCTCCTCCCCCTCCTCCTCCGCCTCCTCCTCCTCCTCCTCTTCTTCCTCCTCCTCACCCTCACAGGTGAATTTTTAGCCATGGTTGCCCGCAAGCGCTCTGAAGCCCGCGCGCGGCGCAAGCGGAGGCTTACCGCCCGAGTCGCCCCTTGGACCATGCAAGAGGGATTCGGTGCCAATTTGTTTTCGACTCCTATCGCGAGTGAACCGTTGACTGTTCATCGGGATTTGTATGGGGGGGGTCGGGAGGCAGGCAGGTTGGTAAAGCTGTGACAGTGATACGGGCTATTTAAGCTTTCGTGCGACAGTGGTCTTGCCCTTTGCAGCTGAAGCATGCTCAGCCGTCGTCGGCCGAGACGAGGGTCGATCCGTGAGGGGGGGCCATAGTGGGCGCTCCGAAAGGAACTCGCGAAGCCCCACCCCCAAAGCGGCTCTCGCCGAGGCGAGGTCGCCGTGTTGCACCTGCACTCTCTTTCGAGCATGCCGCAAGTATCGATTGGCGATATTGGAAGGGAGGCGGAGGTGTCAGCTTTCAGGTCGGGCGGGGGAGCAGCGAGTCACGAATTGTTCGAGCTGTGGCTCGCGTGTACGCACAGCGCGCAATATTTGCACTGTCAGTTACTTGATGAGGCCTTCCTCTGAAGCGTTCAAAGTTTTTTTGAGCAAACACCGTTGCACGACACTCGCTGTTGGGCGGGGAGAATGGATAGAGTCTGTAGTCTGTGAGAGTAGCTGCCTGCCTTCCACGATCTCTCGTGTCCGCAGCCTGCTTGCATGTGCCGCCATTCCTGTCTCTCGGCACATACCACATACATCGTTCTCTTTTGACAGATGGCAAGGGATATCAGGATGCTGCCAGGGACAGGCCAGGCATGTTTGTATAGTGGACTTTTCTTGTGCAGCTGACGACCGATTTGGTGTCCGCGGCCGAGCCGAGGGTCGATCCGTGAGGGGAGGGGGCCATAGTGGGCGCTCCGAAAGGAACTCGCGAAGCCCCACCCCCAAAGCGGCTCTCGCCGAGGCAAGCTCGCCATTTCTACACCTGCGCTTTTCGTGAGCTCATGGTCGTCTTAGAAGGGGTGCAGGTGCGTGGATCGGGTAGGGTTGTCAGTCACTATCTGTCAAGCTGAGGCCCGCGTGCATGTGATAGGCGCGTCATCTTGCATTGCCAGCTGCACGAGGCTCTCAAGTCTTTGAGAGACAATGCAGACCTGCCGCATGAGTTTGCAGATGCCTTTGCACGACTGGCCTCCTTTGGACAAGCACCAGCCGTGGATGACGAAGGGCACCCGTTGTCACACTTACAGTTTAGAGACGCGGACCCCGTCCCCGTGGTGATGGCCATACGCCAACGCCTACGTGTCAGTAACGTTCGGGCAGAGGGGAGTGCTTCAGAGAGAGTTGCTGCCTGCCTCTCTTGCTCCCTCCCGCCCGCGGCCTGCCTGCACCGCCGCACGCTTTCTCTCTCGTCGCTGTCTCCACCCCCAGAGGTGCCCCCCCCCCCGCTTCGAAGCTGCGGACAAAGCTTCACCCCTTGGCCCGAGGGGGGCAGCGGTCCGGGGGCCCGGTGAGCGTAGTCCGTCGCTAACCACACACCCGTTGCGTGTGGCACCGGGCCCCCGATAGTTCGCCTGTGCGCGCCGCAGCTCGCCAGGTGCTCACGCACCTGCTCACCGTGGCGCTAGCCAGCCTGCATTGCATTTTGCATAAGCAGTGGTGGGGTGGCAGGGTGAGGATCGAGGTTGGAAGAAGGATGGATTGTCATGCAGGGTTTGCCCACCTCTTTTGTCCCTCTCTGCGCGGCGAGGCACAATTGCTTTAGCACAGACAAGACCGCCTGCCTGCCTGCCGTGCCTGTCTGCTACCGCCTCCAGTGCCAGTAGCGCTGACCACGGCTTTAATGCCTCTGAGCTCGTGCAGTGTCACTTCGAACACCGTGCAGGGTGCCTGACACCATATATTTGGAGGGGGGGGTGCTTACTATGGGTGGTGGGGAGGTGCCACTGTACTGTACTTGTGTACTTGGTGCCCGTGCAGCTCTTTTAAGTTTACTGTTAAGTCTGCTAGTTGCAGCGCCCTCTTTTTCTGACCGTCCCCAGGCGAATCAGATGCGCAATCCAAAAAACTCTCTCCTCCTCCTCCTCCTCCTCCTCCTCCTCCTCCTCCTCCTCCTCCTCCTCCTCCTCCCTGCGGCCCTCCAGAGGGCGAGGCAACTCCTGGAGAGCGCCTCTTGGGCGAGGCAACTCCTGGAGGCTCCTGTCAGGCAGCGGACTGCAGCAGCACGCACTGCTGGAACTCCGCGCGGATCTCGTGGGCCGTCGCTGGACGTGCGGATGCCGTGACAAATGGACACCCCTAACACTCCTATCATTGAATGAAAGATGCTTCTAACTTGTTTTTTTTTTTTCGGCGGGGGGAAATATGTTTCTAACATGTTTGAGACATGTGAGGAGCATGTTCGAACCATGTTCGTACATGTCTAGGGTCTGCTTAAACATTCTAAGACATCTGGAACTCATTGACAACATGCTTCCTCTCCATTAAATCGTCGTCAACCACACTGGACCCAAATCAGGGGTCCAGCGCCGATCCAAGAGATCCGCGCGGAGCTCTGACAACGTACGATTGCATCTGCCACTTTCGCTCCTCGATTGGAGGAGGAGGGAGGGGCAGGACGGGGAGGAGGAGAGGAGGAGGGAGGAGGAGAGGAGGAGGAGGAAAGATGAGGAGGAGGAGGGAGGAGGAGGAAGGAGGAGGAGGAGGAGGAGGAGGAGGAAGGAGGAAGGGGGGGGGAGGCGGCGGAGAGCAGGAGGTAGCAGGAGAGAGAAAGAGGAGGCGGAGGAGGAGGAGAGAGGAGGAGGAGAAGGAGGATGAGGCGGAGCAGGATAGGAGGATTAGGGAGAGGGAGAAGTTAAGAGGAGGACGAGAAGGAGGAGGAGGAGGAGGAGGAGAAGAAGGAGAAGGAGGAGGAAAGGAGGGAGGAAGGGGGTAGGGGGAGGGGAGGAGGAGGAGGAGGGGGAGGAGGAAGGAGGAGGAGGAAGAGGGGAGGAGGAGGAGAAGGAGGAGGAGGAGGAGGAAAGATGATGAGATGATGATGATGATGATGATGTATGATGAAATGATGATGATGATGATGATA